GGGCTTATTTACCAAATCCTCATTAAGACTGTTCATTAACAGACATAGCTTGACTCCTTTGCTAATGAAAAATGACAGATTGGGGCTGGAGTATCCTGCATAATGGGAAAAGATAACCAGGGGGAAAAAAGTTTTCAACTCTTTTTTATTAGGAAAGAAACTCAGTGTAACTTTATAAAACTACTTCAGGGAACTTTTGGGGAAGATATTCATTCCAATAGCTAGAATAACCTAATGTAATCCCTAACAGTTTCTGAAATCAGGGAAATAGGTACACAAAACCAATACAATAAGGTTTACTTCAGGCAAGGAGTGCCTCCCTTTGAAAAAACAACTATTGGTTTAGCATATTTGCCATAAAGTGAAAGCACAATCTCTGTGGATCCAATTCTGTGCATAACAGCAATAAATAAGTAAAAAACAAAAAATTAAAAATATACCAAAAAGCCCATCATGACAGAGCGAAGATGGACAGAGGAATGAATAAGCCCAGGGTTTGGTTCCATGTGACTTCATGGATTGCTGTTTTCCCAGTGCAAATAAATGTTTGTATGTACTCATTTTGTCATCAAGTATCACCACAGAGTTTTGTTTACCCTTATTGAGGTTCTCCTGTGCTGGTTACTCAAGTCTTGCTGATTAATCTGTTATGGGCACTGTCCCCTTTACCATTTTTCGCTTTGTTTCTTAGCAGTGACTTCCTGCTATGTAATTTACCTTTTTTTCAGCTGATGAAAAATGTAATTCACCTTTTTTTCAGCTGGTGCTCTGTGCCCTCCACCTTCCTCAAGCTCCTCCAGCACTGTCCCACGCAGAGTTTTTTGTTTTGTGGGGTTTTTTTCCCCATAGAGAGTATGTCAGATGCATTCCTTCTACTCTTTTATTGTCTCCATGATTTCTTTGTCTTTCAGGCCATAGGATTCACATCCAATTTATTAGAGTACATCAATTACATAATAAATTCATGAGATCTAGTTGTTGTTTGGGAATTTGATCTGACAGGAGCAGCAGGTTCTGGGCTGTTTGTAAAGGTAGCTGAGGTACAAGGGGAAGGATTTTGAAGGTGGAGGCAGCTGCATATGCTGGTAAAGAAACACAGAATGTCCAATATGGAGTGACATTTACATGAAATTAAGGTAAACATTTGACATGCAGTGGCCTCTTTAGCAAACCCTTTTAGCAGCAGCCACAGATTTCTGTTTGCTGTTGAAAAAATTGCTTTGGGAAATAATCTGAATCAGATTCTGTCAAGATAAACTTTAGTATGGAGCCAAGTTAAAAAAAAAAAAAAAAGAGGTGGGAAAAATCCCCAGGTGGTTTATCTCATTATTATTAACGTTCTTTAATATTTACCAGGCTCTCTTAGCAAGTCAGGCTGTCAGACAGGCACTGAACCATGGAGACAGATCCAGGTTTACTCCTGGGAACTCACTTTGCCTCTCATCTCGCAAAGAGGGTTGATAGCAGATGCGTTTCAAAGGGCTGACAGTTGTGAAAAGAACCAAAACCTCTGGAATTCAATAGCTGTGGACTGTTCTTGCAGCTTAGTTTGGGCTTTTCTGGGTCTTCCTCTTCTTCCTCCCCCTCTTGCTTTTGATTCACCCTGCCTGTGAGGTTCTGGGAATGAGAGATGGGAGAATGGGTGAGAAGGGATAAAAATTAGAAAGTGTATATTTTAAAAGGTATTCAGAAATCTGTTTTCAGTTGGAGTCCCCCAGCTATCAGAGGATGTTTGCTTATACCTTACTGTAACCACTAGGGTACAGAGGTGTGCTACTACAGGGAGATTTGTGTATAGAAGCTGCATTGCCTTCACTAGATCAGCCCTTAAATCAATTTTATGCATCCATGCATATTTTTTTACATTGAGACTTTACTGAAAATACAATATTTAGCCCTCTCTCTGGTGCCGTGCTCTGTTTTGCAATTAGGGGAAAGGCACGTCAGCAAAAAGGGCCAGAATAAAGTTGATAATAAAAGAATGACTGGGTTTAGTGTCTGGCCACGTCAGCCAGAGAAATCTGCTGTGCTAAAAATGATAATTCAGTGATGAAGTAGATTTTTCTACTTACCTATCACCTTTGAAATCTTGGATTGAGTCTTTGTTAGCTCAGAAAGGGAAGGGAATTGGTCACGTTCCCATAGCACCCGTGCTGAAAGACATCTTCCTGGTGGTAGTTACTGTGTCTGGTGAGGATGTGAAGAACATGAGAGCAGCAAAATGATTTAAAATAAAAGTGCCTTAGCGGAATAGTAAGTGCTGTTTGCCAAGCACAGATGCTCATAATGTTATCCTTTAGCCACTCTCTGACTTCTAGAAGTGATGTTACATATTTGGATTTTTAGGAAGAGGAGAAATGGAGGAAAAGGTGAAAAGCTGCTGTTTATTTTAAAACTGGATTTCTTCTCTTGTCATGTAAATCTGGGACTTTAGGCTCCAACTCCTTTCAGTGCAGCCTGTTCCATCTGACTGTTTCCTCCAACTATCCCCCCCAGCAAAGGCGAATAAGAACAGTAATTGCTTTAAAGGCTGAAGAATTGTGTCTGAATTGAATGCCAACAAGTGACGTTATCTTTATAACAAAAAACAATTGCCCTGTTCTCAGGGAAATACAGATTCCATGGCAAATATGTTCACTTTAGAGCAGACACAGTGCAATAAAATTACAGTGCTCTGCAGCATTCATCTCGGCTCTTCACAGCCACCCACCCAATTACAAGCTGTGTCTTGCCAGCAGAAGACTGTTGCTTGGTTTCTGTATTATTTTTATAGCTTTGCTTTCCTCTACATAACTTTGGAGGTAGGCTGTGCTTACTCCTTTCCTTTCACCAGGTTTTTCTGCTGTTAAAAAAAAAAAAAAAGGTAAAAATTGGCTGGTATGGAAAGTCTTTCGCATGGCTCAAAATGTGATTTGGTTTTTTTGGGGGTTTTTTGGTTTTTTTTTTTAATGGAGAATATGCTCTGAATAGTTGTTTCTAATACCTTAATAGCACTGGTTTATGTCAGTAATTATATGAAAGGTTAATCTTTAAATCACCAGCATTTCCTAAATTCCTAATCAACTGCATGCTTGGAAAGGAACCCGTGTAAATGCTCAATTTGTTAATATTAGACTGGGTTGAACAGGTCAAGGAAAAGCATAACCTTGGTGCATAATGGGAAATTGAACACAGCAAAAATATCTCAGATCTGCTTGTCATAATAGCTGTGAACATGAAAGCTGAATATGAGTGCAGATGTAATCAGCAGGAGAATCTGTGATAGCTCAAGATCACCCATCTCTCTAGATGAGGGTTTCTTAAAAAACAAAGCAAACCAAAAAAAAGAAAGAGAGATTTTGGGTAGAAAAGTCTGATTTTTTTTTTAGAAAGCCTGTGGTGAACTGTGGCTAGGATAGCTAAGAAATCCAGCCAAAAAAAAAATCAGTGGCAGAGGCACAGTGCTGGAGTTGAGCAAACACAGTGATGGATGAGGGGGACATTGTGCTCCCAGGGAACAGGGAGGTGGCAGAGGAAATGACGGGGCTGTGGGCACGTGTGTTTGGGGAAGCAGGTCTGTCTGTGCCTCTGTGATGAGAGAGTGTGTGTGACTGGGACTTTGGAAAGAGAGGGAGGAGATACCGGGTATCTTTCTTACATCTCTGCTGTTGTCCTTGCCACAGTCCTGACGTGGGAGGGGAAGGCACTGAAAAGTCTCATTTCCCACGTGTGCACAGTGGTCCCCTTGCCTCCTCACCAGTTCTCATCTTCCCTTTCACCCCATCCCTTCACCCTTCCCTATTCTCTCTCCTGCTGAATGAAGCTATTTAGTGTTGTACCCTCCTTTGCAGAAGCTGTTTCATCCCTGCTTGCACAGTTTTAAAAACTGCTTTCTCCACCCACCCTCAATCTTGGTTTTTCATCTGTGCTAGTTCTTTAGATTAACCATCTTTAAAAAAAGAAAAGGCAAAGGAATCCAGTGACATCCTGATTTAGTTGTCGTTACTCCCGTCTTTTCTCTTATCTTTTGTCTCCTCTTAATTTCATTATTATTACTGCTATTACTGTTATAGCATTAGAAATAAGCTTCCTCATTAAATACTCCTTAGTTGCCACTCTGAATACCATTGGAGAAGCTGGGGGGGGAAGGGAGAGGGATTCAGGGAGTCCTTTTGCTTTTAATGCAGAATGAGACACACACAAGGAACAAATTTAGTCCATCTGAATAGCAAATGAGTTGTGGGTTTTTTTTATCAGAACCGAAGAAAATGATCAAACAGACTCATTTCAACTACCCCTCGATGCCTTAGCCATAAAAACATATACAGAATATATTAAAGCATACAAAAATATCCTTAGGTATGGTTACTGGTCTTTCTCTGGCACAGGTTTGCAAGGCAGCTCTGAACTAGGGGCTGCATCTTCAGCTATTGCTGTGACCACAGAGGGAGGGGGCATCCCTTGGTCTGACCCCCTGCAGTACCCAAACAGCATGGCAAAGGAGGGAATTTGCAGCTTTAACACAGAATATCTTTGTATTTTATATTTTCAGGGCAGAAACAGAATGTGGTACATTAGCATTGATTCTGTGGTTTCATATAATTATTTTTTTTTTTTAAGTAGTACAGAAAGGAAGGAAAGAAAAAGACAGAAAGGAAAATAAATCATCCCTTATATACATTCAGAGCATACACAGCAACAGTTCCTTCAGCACTGGGTTCACTGTGAGTGGGTATTGATGTGAGCAGCAAGAGATTGCATGTTAGAGATCTGTAACACTGGTACTGTTAACCAGCCTCAAAAAAGGTAGTTCTTTTGTTCGCCTTTCACCCTGTCTTGTGTTTAAAAAGACAGTTAAATATAAAGAAAATAATGCTAATTACCTAATTATAAAAGGGAGATTAGTCCTATTAAGTAGAGCATTAGAAAGGGAGTATTGAAAATATTTTCCTTCCTTTGATATTCCCCAAGCAGCTCTTGGACAAAACTGTCACAACTAACCCCAAAAGCATTTTTTTTTAATTCCTTTTGAATTTGGAGCCATTTAATATACCAGAATAAGGGCATCAAAGAGAGGGAATGACTTATCTCTGGACAGCTGTTGAACACAAAATTTGGAAGAAAGAATTAGGGGAAATTTGTCCCTGCAGTTGCCATAAATGCAGTACAAATATAATAACTCTCATATATACCAATGGAAATAGCCTGGAGCAGGATGAATAACTGGATTTGCAATAGCTAGATTGAAATGACATACTGGCTCTTTTATTTCTTTATTACCCACATATATTTCATGTAAACTTTCAGACTAGATGTGGGCAGCCTGTGGTACTGCCAGGTAACAGCAGTGATACCCCTCTTTTCACCAGTGAATACTCAGAGGGTGTCAGGATCTCCAGATGTCCTCTGGGGACCACTAGGAGGTTGTCTCTAGAACAGATTACCCTCAGAAAAGATTTCTGCATGAAGATTTTGAAACACATCCTTTAATAAGGGCTGTGCTCCACGTGGAGGATCCATCCATCATCCTGCTCAGGGTGGCAAGTCATTGGTGGTCATCACCTCTCTTCAGGAGAAATGGCAACAGGCAACACCGAAATCAGCTCCCACTTAGGAAATCACTGCACCTTTAAAGGAAAACGCTCTGCTCAGTTTACTTGAGCTGTCAGTGCAAGATGCATGAAGCACAGAGGTGAATAAATTCCAAAGGCAGGATTGCTCACGTCTTTGCAAACGTGGCTGGAGGTTGCTAACACCAATAAGCAGCAGGAACAACTCCAGAGGGGTGCAATCACTCGTGTGTTTCAAACACAACCCACAAATATGCTAAAAATACACTGAAATACAACCATGGGATGATTGTTTGTTGGTATCAGTCTTGTCTTAGATTTACAGGGGCAAAGTCATGACTGCACTTATACTTTTCTTGATAGCAACAGGGGGTCATTATAGACATAAAGCCAGTTTATATATATATATATTTTGCCATATGCAGACAATATTTTAACGATCTTAGTTGATTTTTTGGAAGCATCCTGGCAACTAGTTGTAATCAGCCCTGCTGGCTGCAGTGGTGCCTTGTGGATTTGAGGAACACACAGCCTAGTCCAAAGTTGGAGAGCCAATTTTTCACAGTTAAATTCCCTACTGATTTCAGAGAAGGGTTTAATGGGAAAATAAATATAGCTTGGCCCTGAGTTAGCATGTATTTAGGCAAGTATTTTTTGCCTAAAACATGATCAGGCAACCCAAAAGACAGGATGGTCTGTACCTTCTCTCTGTCCTCCCTGTTAGGTTTGTACTTGGACACTCAACCCCTCAGGTCACTTGGGAGTTTCAGGATGGATCAGGCCCTTCTGGGTTTGAGGCACAGGAAGAGAAATGTGCATTTGTTTAAAGAGAGAAAAGCCTGGTTTTAACAGTGCTAGCTTGTTTGAAACTGTGGGGGAATTTTCAGTGGCTTTAGTGAAAAAGCAGCTGATTTTGATTAAATTCTCTACGAAACAGTCCTCTCCCAGTACATAATCTCATTGCTTTCACAGATGATATTATAGTCTCACTGAATAAAAATTTTGATTAAAAGGCTCTTGCCATATTTAATATTACACAAGATGAGATGTATCAAATAGATGAAAATAAATTCTGACTCCTTAAAATAGTGTCAGTCAGAAAAAAATATAGAAGTCACTCTTTACACTCAAAATTAATGGCTAAAACCTGCTGTGCAGGAAAACAAGTGGTTTATTCTGTGCCTATTTTCTGCTTTATAAGCCTGCTGTAGCCTTTTAAGAGTAGGTGGCACTTCGATGCTATAAAAAAGGGAAAAAAACCCCTGTGTTACATTAAAATACATGTAAGATTTTGCAATTGTTCCTCTATTGGTGGTAACCTGAGGATAGAGAAACATGTACAGAGCATAGAAATGTCACCCAGTTCATTATCCATAACATTTTATTCCCATGTAGTGCCGTAGGAAGAAAATTTCAAGATGCTCTGCCTGGTGTTACAAAACTCCCTCACCGTCAATTAGCATGAGGGGAGTTGGTGAAAGGATCAAGTTGTTCACATACTGGAATGAAAAATCCAAAATACTAGGAAAGGAAACCTTTATTTAAGGGCAGTCAGATAAAACAGCTGCATGGTTCTACATTGTGAAATCACTGCTTTATATCCATCAATTCCACTTATCACTCATTAGTAAGGAGGGTTCATCTGCTTTCAGCCTCTGCAGAGATTTTTGGGGTTGTTTTATTAGTGGTGGAAGCGAGGGACATGAGCTAGGCTTTGCCAGCAGTTTACTACAGGACCCAGAAGTAGGATCTAATACCTCTCTATCTTCCCCTGACGGTGGTTTTGCTCTTCAGACACACAGGTTTCATCACTGAGACCCAAATAGCTTTTGCTCTTCCCCACTCACTGTGGCACCACGGGGCACAAAACAAGTTCTCAGCTCTTGGGATAGCTCAAAACAAGCATAAAAGTGGGGAAATCTATTAAAAGCCCTTGAATTTAGTGGGTTTTTTCGGTCTTTTTTATATTTCTGATGAACACATTTTGGCAGTGTTTCACTTGTTTGGGTTTTGTTGGTTGTTTGTTTTTTTTAGGGAGTCTTTGCAGTATGATCAGTTTTGATACAAAATACTTCCAGGGGTTCTGATGCTGTTTTTATGGATCTTGCAGCAACTAACAAGTGAGCTGTACTTAAAAACCCTCAGAATTCCTGTCCCAGGGACAGGGTCAAAACTTTAGCCTTTCTGAGGTGCACTGGCTCCTTGTACTGACATCCAGTTACAGGTAGCACATTAACAAAAATAGAATTCCAGTGTCATGCTTCATATCTCCAGCAACATGATGGACGTGAATGTGTGCTAATTACAATGGGTAATTTTAAGCTTTCTCTTTTACGTGGCTTCTTTGCTCATCGACTTTCATTTCAACACTCAGCATGAAGAGAAAAAGAGGTTAAACTGTTGCATTTTGTATACAGGGAACCATTCATGTAATATACACCAGTCTGTAAAAACTGTAAATGCTATTTTTTTTTATTTTAAACAGTTTTTTTTTAGTTTACAAAAGATCAATAGTTGGTACCTTTTTACACTCTCAGATTCCTGAATATTGACAGATCTTCAAAGGGAGTATTAGCATATGAAACCTTAAGATTGGCTGTCCTGAAGGTTTTTAAGACACGATAAAGCTAAAATATCAAGTCTCTGGGACAGCCCCTCTTAACAATTTGGGCAGAGGTGCACGTCAGAAACCACCAGCAAAGCCCAGCAACCCCCCCCACCCCGTGCCACTGTCTGCCTGCACGCTGTTATTTGGTTGCACACTGTTTAAATCCCACAAGGAAAATCACACCTCGCATTCCCTCGCTGGCTGCTGGTGACAGGAACAAGATCCATACTCATTAATGATCACCAGGGCTCCCTCAATGTGGTTGGGTTTGTAATCAACATAATACTCCTGGGCTGACATGGCAGCCATTTGGTGCATGGTCTGTTTCTGCTTCTGCTTCCTGCGCTGTGTGACAAAGCACTGTCTTAGTTGCCTTAAGCCGGCTGGAAAGCACTTCCAGGAGACATACAACACCAAAACCACGATAAGGAAGGAAAAAATCAGTGCCATGGTGCCCGTCACCACCTTGTGAATCTGCACGGCGTTCTCGGAGTTCTCGCCGGGCATGGTGATGGTGACGGCGTACGTGGTCCGGTCCTCGCCGCTGTCCGGCACGTCGTAGGTGGCGGTGGCGGAGCCATAGCCCAGCGTCTGGTCGCTGTTGTTGGTCACCGGGGAGAAGGTGTTGACGCTCGTGGGGTCTGCGTCTTCGCACAGGTGGAAGGCGTACACGGCGTCCAAAACATCCTCGCCCTGCGCGTACTCGGGGGTGGCACAGAGCAGGTTGCTGTCGTAGCGACCCTGGAAGTTGCTCAGCCAGGAGGCCAGGGCGCAGACGTTCCGGCTGCAATCCCAGGCGTTGGCGGAGAGGCTGATGCTAGTGAGGGACTTCCAGGAGTCCAGGACCCGGGAGTCGATGTAGGTCAGCCGGTTGGAGTCCAGCTGCAGGGATTTGAGATGAGGTACACTTTCGAAAACGTGAGGTTCGATGTATTCGATTTCGTTGCCGGAGAGATCCATCTTTTCCAGTTGCCATATCCAGTCCAAGGTGTTTACTACGATGGTAACTTTATTCCTTCTCAAGCAGAGAGAGTGCAGGGAGATGAGCCTGGGAAAATGGGCTAAATTCACTTTCACCAAGTCATTGTGCTCGAGGTGCAGCTCGGTGAGTTTGAACAAGCCCGCAAAAGAGTTTCGAGCCAGGCTCTTTAACTGATTGTATCCTATGTCCAGAAACTTCAGGCTGCGACAGTCCTGAAAAATTCTCACCGGCACGAACTTGATGGCGTTCGACCGCATGTGCAAAGTTGTCAGTTTCCTCAGCCCGTGGAACAGGTCGGGCTCCAAAGACTGTAGGTTGTTGTAAGATAAATCCACACTGCGCAAGTTTGGCATGGGGCGGAAAGTGGTGTTGGGCAGTTGGGTTATTTTGTTGGAACTCAGGGTGAGCTCTTTAACTCGCCGCAATTTTTGAAAGGCATTCCCCTCCACTGAGCAAATGTGATTGTGATCCAGATAGAGCCACGTGAGCTGCATTAACCCTGTGAACTGTCCATCATGCAGCTCTGAAAGGCTGTTGTACCGCAGAGACAAGCCCATCATGCCCGACAGGTTGCGAGGCATCTCTGTAAGATTCAGTGATTCACAGTACAAAAGCCTGCCCTCACACCGACAGAGCTGTGGACACCCACTATTCACAGCTGGAAGCATTTTAGAAAAGATACCCAGCGTACACAATATCAACCCCGGGGGCTTCCTCAGCAGCCAGTTTAAACAGAGACCAATAAGAAGGAAATCCATTAGCAAGAATATTTCCAAATATGCTTGAGAATGTCCATTGAATCTTTTCAAATTCTACATCATATTTTATTTAAGGGGGAAAAAAAAAAAGGCAAACCAACGAAACAAAGCCCGAAAACCAAAGCAAAACAGCAAACAGAACAAACACAGAGGCAAATATTTCACTTTACAGCATGCAGGAGCTGTGCAGCATTAAAGTTCACAGACATTCAAAGGTAAAATGATAGTGATTTTGTTCATGTTAAATGCTGCAGCAAAGGAAAAAAAAAAATCTTTCTTCATGAAAGAATTTAATTAAAAAGTGTCTTACCCACCCTTTTCCAGAGAGTGACAACCTCCATTCAGTTGCTTCCTTTGTGTTTGGACTAATTATATGCAGAGCTAAAAAAGACCCCTCTGTGCTACAAATTCAGTCCCTTTCAATGTTGTGCAAGGCTGGCAAGCTCACAATGTCTCACTTCGCTTCTGCTCAACGAGCGAAAGGCTTGTCCAGCTAGCTTTTGAGCTGCCTCCTAGGACCTGCAAGTTTCAGAACTATGTACATGAGCTTGATCTTCTCCTTCTCCCTCTGTCCTTTCCTCTGCAGTTAACACTGTGGCGTGAAAAAAACTCCAAACTCTTTACTAACGACTCCACAGGATTTGTCAATCTGTTTAATGTCCGTCATTTGCAACGACCATTGACCGGCACAACCTTTACTCCAGAGAGAGGTTACCATTCATTCACTGACCGGCTAAGGGTCGCTTTATTTCCCATTCTTTGTTCGCTTTGCTTGTTAGGTGATGCTTAGAGCAGAGAGAGACAGCAAGAATCCCTTCCCTTCAGCTGAGCAGTATGTTGCTAGAGCATGCAGAGGCACCCAGTGTTCACTGAGTGTCGTAAGCTGCTCATGATTGTACGCCTGCACTGTGCATCTCAGACATGGGCAGATTGAAAAGGGGTGGGCATAAAACCAACATCGGGAGCGAACCAGGAAAGTAATATATGCTCTTTGATGAAATGGAAAATACTTTAAGCCTATCTCGCCATTTCTCAAACAGGCACGCACACACAGCCGCACAAATCATCAAAAGCGAGGCAGTGCTAAGTAGGAAGCTTGAGAATTAGGATGATTCTTCTTTTTTATTTTATTTTTTTTTGGTGGTGCTTTTGTTTAAAGTCTGAATTTATAAGCTATTAGCCGGGAGAGGGAGAGACTTGATTTCTTGGTTTGGGAAGGAATATGTAAACCGGTCTCTTTGGATTGCTTTTTCTCTCTTAGTTCCGATGATGAGATTTGCCTTTTGGAGTCTTGGGGTGGGGGATTGAGGGGTGTGGAGGGTGGGGGGGAATGTGTTTTTCTTCTGACATTGTCTAAATAGAGCATGATTTGAAATTCTGTGCATTCTTTCTCATAGAAATGCAGCCAGAGCTCTGCAAATAGGAATGTCTCGTTTCATATAAGCTTTAATTACATTTGGTCTTTTTCCATCCTGCATATTTTGTGTGTTCAGCACATGCCTTTCCTAAAGGCTTTTTCTTTTCCTTTGCAGTGTATGCTACAGCACACAGAACTAGAATTCTTCCAGCATAAAGATCACTGTGCTTTTGGAATAAGATCAATGTATAGGTTGCTGTGACCGTGTCGGCAGCATGCAAAGAAGGGGTTTCAAACCCCAGTAGTTAATAAGTTTTGCAGATTGTGCTGGGTTTTGTGCCATGTACCAAAGGGGGAAAAAAAAACCAAAACCTTTGCCTGATAATTTGCAGTCCTCATTCTGTATGGGAAATGCGTCGACAATGAGCTCTGTAATTTTTACTGACTGAAAAATGTGTGGTACTTCTGTCAGGAAAACGCTGGCCATCTTTTCCTATTATGAAATAGAGTCTCAAGCCTGTGTGCTGGTGAATGCAATTGGAGCTGACAGCTCCCAATTCTGCATCAATTCTCAGTGAAGAAGTTTCACATGGAAATACAAGTATTGCAGAAGAACGTGCTGATTTTAAGTCGACATCAGGTGCAAAATGCTGGAGGGACAGGGCAAAAGCGTTGTATTTGCTTTCTTTTTCACAACTGTGTTAATTTTTTTAAAAAGACCTTTTATTGGAGTATCTGTGAGAGAGCTGATCGTTGTGTTTGAGTGTGGCTGGCTGCTGGGAGCGTGTGCTGGGAGAGATCAAGGAATGCAGTAATTTGATGCAGTAAAAGTTGCTTTACAGAGGTCCTGGCAAACGTAAAGCTTTCGTACATGAAAATGTGTGAAGGAGATGCATTACTAATGTATTTGCCAAAAACAGCCTTAAATAAATTACAAATACAAACCACTTTAACTGCGGTTTCAGAACCTGGGAATCAACGTGCTTTTATGCTCCCTGTTCAGTTTATTTACATTTTTTCTTCTCTTCACAGCATTTTAGTGGTCTCAAAGCAAAAATGTGATGCTTTGATAGTATATGAACCTCATCTATGTTTTAGCATTTGGGCAGGAAAACTGAAGGTAGTTTTCCTCTCCCGAAATCGTGCTATTTTATTCAAAGCAGGCTGTTTATGCAAGTGTCCACTGGTTGCAGTACACCTTAATTCTGTTTCTGAGTACACAAAAGCAGGAAGGAAAGCAATGACAGAACCAACAGAAAGAGCATTGAAGCAGGAGAGACTAAAAAAAAACCTTGTCCAAGAATATATTCCAGATTGTCTTGATGAATATTTTGAGGCAATTAGCAGGAAAAAAAAATTAAAAGATGACTTGAACTTTACAGATACTGAAAAAAGCTTCAAAGCAATGAGGTTGTGTCCTTTAAAAACCTGCAACCCTACAAGTCTTCATGGGGGAAGTCTTAATGCCTTCTCCCATATAAAAATTTGGGGAGAGATCTGCAAGAGTAGCCCTAAAAATTTCAGTTATATCTTCAAGGAAAGCTGCCATTTTCTGCAAATCAGATGATGATAATGATCACTTAGTTACCATTTAAATGCTATGTATAAAGTGAAGAATTCCTCTAGTAGAGATTAAACTCCTTGATGCTTCACTGAAGAACTGAATAATTTTTTTGCACTGCTTCTTCTTGCTATCACCTGGGATACAGCCTGGATCCTACCCAAGGTGCCTATTCCCACACTTGGCATATAATCCATTATCATTTGGTTTTCAAAGGTAGAAATTAGAGCAGACAGTAGCAAACCTATATAGCATCAGCTGGAAGACTGACAACTAGAATTAGGAACCCAGAATTAATGGCCCTAAGCACACTGTCTCAAAGCTCTGACAGGGGTCTGTGGAATGAGAAACCTTGCTTTTACTTATACAAAATTTGGTTGTAGAAAAGATTCCAGGTAGTCTTTAAAATGAGAGACCTCAGTGTATGTTTGGAACTGTGCTGTTGAAGCACAGTAGTGACCAAATTCAAGAACTGGGGCACTTGGATCTGGAAAGCCAAACTTAGGTGAATGTATGTCTTGGCCTGAAATATCTTTTGTAAGTTGGTTTTCTGTTATGTTTTTGCAACGTGCTTTTTTTTTTTGCAATAAAACTAGGAATCCACTTTGAACATGACTGTAATGCAAAGGACTTAATTTCCACTGTCTCAGCTATTATCACAGCCAAACTGTTAAGTTTACACATTTTGTGAAGTTTCAAAGCCTCTGGCAAGTCTCTATAAAATTAGCAGGTTTAAATTAGCTTTATTAAATGTGCTATTATAAAATATTTTAAGAATGGCAAACTCAGTTTATGTGTGTTTAAGGGAGCTTGGTTAAATCAATGTGAAGTAGGTTACAGAAGAACAACATGAATAAAGTTTTAGAAAGTTTAAGTGGGAACCTACTTCTTGTAGTCATGACAAATGTAGTCCACTGGCAACACCCTGCAGTGACTGTTAGAATTATTCAGGCTGAAAAAGGAAAACATCTTTCAATGTATTTGGTCTACACGTTTTTAATGTTGAGTTCAGATTAAACATTGAATCATGGAATCAGTAACATTGGAAAAGACCTCTAAGATCATCCAGTCCAACCATCAAGTGTCCTGTGGGATTTAACTGGCCTCAGAATAATTTCATTCTTACTAATTCCTTGTATATTGCATTACTGTTTGTACCTAGATATTTACCTTGACTTACTTGCAATCCAGGACAGATGGGGTTGGGACAGAGTGAGTAAGATCAGAATCTGACCACTGATGTCTAACTCTGCATGTATACATCTTTTTATAAATTCACCAACAAAATACAATAAGTCAGAACAGTGTATTAAATACTGAGTATAGTTCTTCCTTCTGGTATTTTCTGAGTGGTTTATATCAGAGTAATAAAAAGTGGGACTTTTAGTGGTGATTTTAATTTCCTTTCATGAATGGAAGGACTCAAACCTTGATCTTTGGTAGTCTTTAATTTTCAAGGGTGCTGAACCATGGCATTTTGTATAAAGGAAACATTTAAAAACAGAAAAGGGAAGAAAAAGACGTGACTCAAAGTAAAGCAATCTGTTATTTCTCTGGTGTTTCTGTCTTGGTCAACCTGGACATTTATTGGCTGCCCCTTCTGTATAGAATTTAGGATTTCAGCTGATAAGAAATCCAGCTCCTGTACAACATGTCTCTTTTAGTAGATATAAAAATGTGTTATATTTTGCAAGATTTTGACCAAAATACTCCTGGTGAATCCATATGTCCTTAAATTCTTATAGTGCCTAACAGGCACACTGGATTTGTTACCACCTCTAAATAATAGATATTCTTCTGTAAATGATGTTATTGTTTTGGACAAGGTGCTAAACACTTTTCTGTCTCATTGCAGCCGTTCCATCCTCATCGTCCACATTCAGTCCCAGCTGCTTGTGCACATCTCTATAAAGTCACTCACACAGGAGACCTATGTGCAGCATTGTCAATGCAGTGCAGAAATGTCAATTTTTGGGAAAATATGTCAGTAGTAAGATGAAGTATCTCTCTCCTGTTCATTAGTTGTAGACTGCTTGAATAACCTAAAGAGTTACTGACTCTCTTAAGTGAACTCGCCTATGGATTTCTGGACGTGCTGTCAAAGCTCTAGACAGTGTTATTGGTTCTGAATGTCCAGGTGTAATGGAAAAAAGACAACAAATAAAACTATCCCTTTGTGATTAATCAACACATTGGTGAAGGTCGTGCAACACCCTGATTAAGCAAAGACTGGTGTGTTACCATCAAGTGACCAGGTTGGTGGAACTTCTGGTTGACAGGGAAAGTGAAAATTTAAACCTTGTGTTTTGCTTAACTGTTGCTAATTTATATCTCTAAAAATGTCTTGAGACGTCTTGGAGGAAGCACACGTGGAGTGCAATGATTAGAAATTGTATAGGTTTTAGTTGGTCATATTTAACTGGAAATCAATTAATTCCTCCTTCAGAAGTGCTAAGCAAGACACTCCAGAAAGGTTTGTGTCAAGCCCTTCCCAAGCATTTCTGGAGGTGCCAGTGAATGAACTGTAATTAATTTCCAATTAGCTTAAGAGCAAAGAAGACCACAGCTCATGCACACACTTGAAAACATCTACCTTGCCCTCTACTACTGTTGCTGGTTCATCTGTAAGGATTATTTTCTTATATAAACACTAGTGCTAAATGGTCTTTTATTTGTGCTTCAAGGCTTGTTTCCACTGAAAGGATTCTGTTCTTGCCTGGATGTATCTGCTCCAAGGTGGCTGTTGACACCATTGCATCTCAGGTTGGCTGGTTGTTTTATCTTGATGTATTTACCTCAAAATGATGAACTGAGAGAGGTTGGGTGATGGTTCAGCCATGAATGCACCACAAAGTGCCAGAATAGCAGGGTTGATTAGGACTGGGCAAAATCTCCCCTGTAACTAAACTGGTTGTGTTCCTAAACTCATCACATGTCCAGAATTTTGACTTGCCAGAATTTTGTATTCTTCTCCAGAATAACTTGTGTTGCTCGGGAAGTTGTCCAGTCTCACCTGG